GGAACCAGAAAGCACGCTCAGCTGGGGTTGTCAAGGAGATGTTTGTAGTGAAGGGGCCGAGTGCCCAGGTGTGGGCTGGGCTGAGGGGACCCACGGGAATATCGAGGCAGTGGATCATGTGGGAGAACGCCCCTCCCCTGCGGAGCCCAGAGGCCGTGGGGAGGGCCTGTGACCAGGGCCACAGAAGAAGGGCCACCAGCAGAGCCAAGGGTGTGGGTTGGACACTGGCGCTGCCAGAACCATGCCAAAGCGGGGAGGTGATGGGGTGCGTGGAAAGAACGGGGGCCCCAACTCTCCCTCCTCCACCCGCCTGTGTCAAATCGGAGCTTTCCATTGGGTAAACCGAACAGGAAACCAGAAGGCCGGGGAGCCCAAGTCATGTTCTCTATGGACATCAGCGTTCCAGGGCAGGAGAAGGGCAGAATGGATCTGCACAGCGTCACTGAATCGGCAATGAACTTGACTCTCTGTAGTTGCCTTTAACACCATCTTAACGAGCTTTTTAAATATCCTACGGGCACAGACCCGCCAGCCTTGGCCCTCAGAACAGAGTTTTCATGTATCCACTGGAAAACAAATACTGAGAGTCACCACGGGGTGGTGCTACCCATCGGCCATCAGTTCTGTCTGAACCTCCTTCCTGTCGCCCGCAGAGCCATGTCTGGGCTGTTTGTGGAATTTCTTCCTGCATCGGGCCCTCGTTTTATAACACGTAGTTGTGAGTAGAAATGCAAACAAGCAGGGACACAGCCTCACAAACAATACAGACAAAGATGAGGACTGCTGGGTTAACAGTGGTGAACTCTGAGCCTCATCTGGGCACATCAGCCTTGAGCTGACCCTCTTTGAGTTCAACTGTGAAAAAAATAGAGAGTAAAATTAATAAATCAGCATGAACCGCGGGGGCGGAGGCATGCATCACATTTTGTGTCAAAGAGCAAGGTGTAATTAGAGACCTTATTCTTGTGTGCCCCCAGTTATACATATTTACATTCAGGAAGCAAGGTTCTCTATAAATTTTGGAGATACCCCTGGCTATCTGAACTCTTGCTGCTCACGACCCAGCAATAGGGAACCAGAGGAGTTCTAACGAGGTGGTCACAACCTCCCTGTCCCAACCTTATGTCTGAAACCCAGGAAGCAGGTGTAACTGGGTGGTCAGAAATACTTTGTAAAGAGTAAGCCTTTGGCGTGCTTGACTTTGATGCATGTGTTCGTATTATGCATTATGTATGGAAGCAGGGGACTGCCCGGGTAGAGGTTTTGCCACTTGTCGTGGCGATGGTCACCCCTCCCTCCCAAAGGTGGAATTCTATTATGAAGTTAATTATCACGTCGATCATCTGTTAATTAATAGTCAACTGGGCCTCAGGTGGCGGCTATATAACCTCGTTGGCTGATTCTTCAAGACGACTGGTAATAAATGGCCAGCCGGGAGCTGGGATCTTTTGGGGGAACAAAGAGGGGCATGAAGAAATGAGAATGTCGAGGGGCCGTCCAGGGGCCCCTTGGAGCCCTTGAACTTGGTCTACGGCACCTTCTTTGTTTTCCTCCCTGCCTGGCGCCCCAGTACGATTCCCACCTCTCTCTCTTTCAGGCATGCTGCTGTCCATGGGGTTTGGATTCGTGGAATACAGGAAACCGGAGCAGGCCCAGAAAGCTCTCAAACAGCTCCAGGTAAGTGGGCATTCTCAGCCGAGGTCCACGGGGGCACAAGGCAGGTGGTGCGGTACCCGTTAATCTTCTGAAATTGAATGGGAATGCAGATCAGCCCATATCTTCCCAGGCCCATTGCTTTCTCCAGTTCCCTAGGGGACTGTGGCCCACAGCCTTGAACCTTCCTCAGCCCCCCACAGTCACTACAAGGCATTCCTTCAGTCTGCAACTCTTGATCAAGAGCCGGGTTTGTGCCAGACCTCAGGGAGATGGGTGAAGCAGACCTCTGAAAAGATACGCCAAGACCAGGTTATGAGAAGTGCTCGGATGCAGATAAAGCAGACGCTGTGGTGAGGGGAAGGCTACTTTAGATCACGTGGTCAGGAGAGGCCCTCTCTGAGGACGTGACAGTTGAGCTGACACCTAATTGAGCTGACACCTAATTGACAAGAAGGAGTCAGCTACACAGAGATCTCGGAACAGCACGTGCAAAGGGTCTGGGGCAGGGACTCTGAGGCAGCAGTGAGCTTACTACGTCTGAGGAGCAGAAAGAGGCCATTGTGGCAGGGACAGGGTATAGGGTGGGAGGTATGTGGAGCTGGATCTTGCAGACCTTTTATGGACTGTGGAATTCAACATAGAGGCAGTGCGATCCCATCAGACGGCTTGGAGCACTTTGGGGAAGGATCTGATTTCTGCTGCTGAACAATCTCTCCAGCTGCTGTGTGGAGGGTGCATCATAGGTTGGAGACCGTTGAGTCCTCCAGGCACAGGTCAGGGTGGACGCAGTGAAAGTGGGGAGAAGGGGGCTGAATGCAGAGGTGTTTAGGACACAGACTTACGTCCTACTGAGAAAGGAGCGATGCCCTCCTGCTAGGTCGAAGTGCAGGGACAGATCAGGGCCCTGGATGGCAGGAAGGGAGCTGAGGTTACAGGGAGCAGAACAGAGCCCCAAAGTGGGCCAGGCCTCAGCTTAAGACAGTGTCCTCAGGGCTTCCCTGGTGGCACAGTGGTTGAGAGCCCACCTGCCGATGCAGGGGACCATGGGTTCGTGCCCCGGTCCGGGAAGATCCCACGTGCAGCGGAGCGGCTGGGCCCGTGAGCCATGGCCACTGAGCCTGCGCGTCCGGAGCCTGTGCTCCGCAACGGGAGAGGCCACAGCAGTGAGGGGCCCGCGTACCGCCAAAAAAAAAAGACAGTGTCCTCAGCACCTTCCCTGACACCCCACGTCCCCAGGCCCTTCGGTGGCAGGAAGGGGACAAGGAACAATGCTTTCTCACGAGCCTCTTTCTTTCTGGAGGCCCGCTTGCTCCAGGGGGTCCAGGATCCCTTTTAAACGCTATTCAGAATGTCACGTGTCTGTATAGGCCATCCAGGCAGCGGCAACATAAGATGGAGTTGACCAGGGCCAAGTTGACAAGTGAGCGCGTAGCAAGCTGCACGCCCTCCCAGCTCCCGTTCTCTCTGAGACGTGTGCTTGGGCCTGCACAGCTGGGCTGGATACTGGGTGAAAAGGGCACCCATACTGGCCCACCTCTCTGTGAAGCCTGGCTTTATAGGGACCTTCCAGGTGATGGAGTCTGTCCCAGTAGAGCTTGCTAGTCAAGCGAAAGGCCTTGGGGATTGTAGGAAATGTAGCTGGGCACTTAGACAATATGATCGTTTTTGTAGAATTTTGATGACCCTCCCCTTGGCCCAAAGCAACTCCAGGGAGGGCTGAATTGGGTTTGGGTGGGGTGATGGGGAGGGATGGCCTCTGGGGCCTCTGCTGTCACTTGGAAAGTCTCTCTGCTCTCCACCTCACATGCCCATGGGGCCAGGCTAGCTGTAAACTAGCGACGGGGCCGGCATCGCCCAGAACAGGACCTCGGCACCTGCGCCTTCTAGCGGGGCAGCCACTTCTTGGCCTCAGCCAGGTACTGCCTGACGGGCAGGTGGGCCCCAGCCATACCACATCTTCTCTGGTTTTTTGTTTTGTTTGTTGTTTTTTCAAGAGACACTAGAAATCCAACTTTGTCATTAGATGCTGTGTACTCATTTAACTGGATTTCAGCTCTGCACACCCAGTGGTCTTTCTCTTCGGTGTAATTCAGGAGCCTGTCAGATTCTACCTTGCACACATTAGAGTTATGTTCTGTGCCTCGCTGTGTGCTACATACGGGCATATTGCCGCAAAGAACTGTTTATACGAAGCTACGTGTGCTGTATTTTATGGGAGACTTTAAAGGATTTTCAAGGGTAATTTTGCTAATACACCAGTTTTATACACCATGGGTCCTTAACAACGGACCCATGTTAAGAGCCTAGCTTTAGATGCATCTCTGCTGTGATTTAGATTTTTTTTTTTTTTAACAGCATACAGTCCAAACCAAACTCTCTCTCTGCAAGCCAGACCAAAGGGGCTTACTTTGCCTGAAAATGCTTATAAACAGTGGAAAACTCTGTGCCCCTTGAATGGCTTAAAGGTCAAGGCCCACTCGTGGCTCCAGAGGGCTTGGAGGGCTGGGTCTCCGTAACCACCAGCTGCTGCCCGGGCTCAGCGGGAACCACTTCCAGGAAAAGCCCTTCTCTGTCCTTGACTCCAGCGGGCTTGTCTCCTGGGAACAGTCAATGCCCCCTCGAAGTTCTCTTTCCCCTCACTCAGCCGAAGCCCACTCCGGTGAAGGACAGGGCTACGGGTGAGTGCTTCTGAGAGGACAGAGGGACAGGCTGTGTTGTCTCATCTCTCAGGGTCACGTCGTGGACGGCCACAAGCTGGAAGTCAGGATCTCAGAACGAGCCACCAAGTGAGTCTCCCCTGCCCCATCTTACTTGGATTGAGTCCGTCCCTTTTGTGTTGGTGCTGGTGCCCTGGAGGGTGTCTCATGGTCTTTGAACATCCTCCCCGACCCAACTCCCCCTCACCCTGGGACCCCTTCCTAATTAAGGGGGTGTCCCGCATGCCAGCTCCGATACCCATTTCCCTGGTAAACTGGGACCATGCCAGTCCCCGGAGTAAACGTGTTAGTACACATCTATTATAACAAAAGGAACACAGGCGGGAGAAGCAAGCAAAACCCGCTTATCTTGGCCCTATAAATTAAACTCAGGGAGACTTGCAAGTTGCTGGAGCCTTGGACAAACCAGAAGCAGTGAGAAAACCTAGACGTCTCGCATTATGGGGCTTTCTTTCTTGGAGCTGGACAACGGTGCCCAGAGGCGGCCTCCACTTAATTTGAAAGAGATTCAGTAGATGATAGAGATGGAGACAGACCACTGGACCCAATGACCAGTTTCCTAAAGTAGTGGAGGTCTCTTGGGAGTTTTAGTTTTGCCCTACATCTTCACCCTTGCAAGTCCTAATTGAACTAATACACTAGAGGTGCTTTGAACAGTGCCCGGCATGTAACGCGTACCTGGGGTCAGCCTTTATCATTGTTGTCATTGTCAATCCCATCTGTCCGACTCAGGTGATGAAGTGACTGCCTCTAACAATCCTTGGGCTGGTTTAAGATATTTATTTGATGGTTTTCAGCAAGTCGGTCATTTGTTGTGGTCGTTGAGCAGATTGGCTGCCAGTGAGCTGACCTGAAGCTGCCGCTATCTCTTCCTTCTCTCTCTGTTTTTTAATGCTACCTGTGAAGCCAGCCTCGGCCACCTCTGGTGGTGTCCACCCATCCCAGTCCATCCCATGCTGAGCATCCTTAGCCAGAAGAAGGCTTGGTGTGGGAGCCCCAGAAGTTAACAGGGGTTCTTGAGCCATGAATTAAGAGTGGGGGTGGGGGTGGGGTCCAAGCTTTGTGCCCTGCAGCTTTGGGTTCTAATCCAGAGGCTGTGTGACCTTGGGCGGGTGATTTTGCCCGTAAAGTAAAATGTGAAAACTGGAGGTTGTGCATGAAGCATCTAGCACACGGCCAGCACGTGATCACTCAGCCAGTGGCGCCGGTCTCTCTTCTCAGTCCCCTGACTCCAGGGAGTCAGGCTGAAGTCACCCTGCAGGCTCTCAATTCCTAGGCTGTGTTCATTTAGTCTTTCTTTTATTCAACAAAAAATTACAGAAAGCCTACTGGGCACCAGACACTCTTCCCAGGAGCTGGGGAGGGAGATTCCTCGTGGGGTTTACATTCTAGGGCAGTGCTATTTGATAGAAGTTTCTGCGACGATGAAAACATCCTATGATGTTGTACATCTGCACTGCCCAGCATGGTAGCCGCTTGCCGCACATGGCATTTGAGCTCTTGAAACGTGGCAGCTACCACTGTGTTAATTATCTATTGCTACATAACCAAGTATCCCAAAACTTAACAGCTTAAAACAGCAGACATTTATTATCTCACAGTTCCTGAGGGTCAGGAATTTGGGAGCAGCTTAGCTGGGAAGTTCCGTCTTGGCATCTCTTATGAGGTTGCGGTCAAGACGTTGGCCAGGGCTGCAGTCTCATCTGAAGGCTCAACTGGGGTGGATGGCTTCACTTGCAAAGTGGCACTTTCACATGGCTGTTGGCAGGAGGCCACAGTTCTTCACCACGTTGGCCTCTCCCTAGGCTTGCACAAGTGTCCTTACAGCCTGGCAGCTGGTTTCCCCCAGAGCGAGTGATCCAAGAGAGAATAGGGAGGAAGCGGCAGTGTCTTTTATGACCTAGTCTCAGAGCAGGAGGGGAGTGCACAAGGGGCATGAATACCAAGAGGCAGAGACCATTGGGAACCATCTTGGAGGCTGGCTAGCCCAGTAACCGAGGAGTTGAATTTTTAATTTTGTGTCATTTTAATATCGATTTAACTGTTAGCCACGTGCAACCTGGTGGCTGCCGTGTTGGACAGCACAGCCCTAGAGGACAGACCGTAAAGAGAAACATGACTGAATATGTAATATGCTCTTGGATAGTGATGAGTGCCAGGAACATTGAGCCAGGGGTGGGAGTGGGAGTGGGCTGCTATTTTAGTGGAGACAGTTAGGGAGGAGGTGACCTGGAGCAGACTTAAAGGAAGTGAGTCATAACCGTCCTCATAATCACAGCTACCGTTTATGGATCGCTTACCCTGTGCTAGGCACAGTGCAGAGTGTTTTGACGTGTCTTTCATTAAATCCTCAATCCCATGAGGTTGGCACTATTATTAGGCCTGTTTTACAGTTGAGAGGCCAAGTAATAACTTGTCCAAGATCACACAGATCCTTAGTGGCCGACGGGGCATTCACACCCAGATTGTCAACTCATGGCTGTGCTCGTGACCCTCCCCTGCTTCCATGGAGTGGAGGGTTTCCCTGTAAGAAAAGGGGGACAGGTTCGGGATGGCCTTGAACCTCAGGTGGAGAGTTTCATCTCACAGCCCTGACCCACCTCCGGGGTTAGAAACTGCTCCAGGCCCCTGGATGCTGCACTTCGGGTTCGTGAGGAAATGTCTCCAACAAGACCTTGGGACCAGCCGGCGTCTTTCTGGGCACCTGCAAAGAAAGAGACAGAGGAGACTGGGTTTAGGGAGAGACTGCCCCCCACCCCCATCGGAGCTCTTTCCTCAAGCCCCTGCTAGTCCCTGAGTGTCTCAGATGAAGGGCAGCAGACACCCCAGGGTAGGATGTGCCGACTGGACATCCACAGCTGCTGCGGGGAGAAGATAATTAGGCTGCGTGCCACCCAGGGGAGCCCGCCTTCTCCCCCTTTCCTCTCAGCCGTGTCCACGCAGAGTCTCCTCGAGTCCCTCACCTGAACAGAGGACAAGAGCATCGGTGCTGGTGGGGGGAGGGGGCCGGTGGAGTCAGCAGAGGGCAGCAGCTGCCGAGGCCCCGAGTAACTGGAAGCCTTTCCGCCGACCCTCCAGGCCAGCCCTGACATCCGCTCGGAAGAAACAGGTGCCCAGAAAGCAGACAACCTCCAAGATCCTGGTGCGGAACATCCCCTTCCAGGCTGACAGCCGTGAGATCCGCGAGCTCTTCAGGTGAGAGGCGCTGGTCCAGTCCGCGGGGCCGTCGTGTCGGGGGGAGCTGCTGAGCCTTCGGGTTCTCGATGGTCTGCCGAAGGCCGGCACGGTGGCCTCTCAGAGGTCATCTCCTGGCTGCCTTTGATGTTTCTGCCTTAATCTCAGACATTGCTCTGCAGACCGCTGGGCAGAAACATGTCCAAACATGTTCTTCATCCCCACCAGCGACCTGCAGGAGGGCAGGGACCCCGGCGGCTGACGCCCAGCTCTGCCCACGATCTGCCTGAAACCCTGCCGCCCAAGTCATCCTTTGCTTTAAGCCAGCGGCCCACTACCTTCTCTGCACCTTTGAATCACCTGGTGACTTTTATAAATACACCTTTGCTCAGGCTCCGCCCCCAGAAAGTTGCATTCAGTTGATCAGTGGTGGAGCCCAGATGTTGGTATTTGGATCAGAGCACCCCAGGGGATTCTGGTATCCAGCCAGGGTTGGGCAGCACACTGGTCTGCACTGCTGTCTATGGAAAGCCTGCTTTGAAATGAGGGGGACCACCTGCCTAAATAATGCAGTCCATCAGCAGATGCTACAGCACAGGAGTCAAAACTCAGATCTCTTGGGGGCCAGGCACCAAACAGCCTGGCAGAGCAGACTGGGTGGGAACTGATGGACTGGAGGGCCAGCGGTGATGCTGGGCAGGGACGCAGATGTCATAGGACCAGTTCTTCCCGCGTTTTGAAAGAGAAACTGGCAATCTGGATTCTTGAGTTGGCAACTAATTCACTTTCTAAAAACACTCTGTGTGGGACAACGTCTACCTGAGGGCCAGATGTAACCCAGGGCCATGAGTTTGCAACCCCTGTGCCAGTACATTACACTGTTTGGTTTTTCAGATAAGTTAGGTATCACCCGGCACCAAGCCTTGGATGAAACGTCTTTAGAGAGGGGGCATAAGGGGGAAACGTTTATAAAGCCAGGGCACTCTCCAGGCGTGTGCTGTGTGGCACAGAGAACAGACCCTTCTAGCTGTCAGAACCTAAGGCAGATGACATCGGCCCCAACCAAGCAGATCATGGAAGCTCGGCTGCAATCTAGGAGTATTCTGGGGACCTACAGCTCTGTGGCCTGCATAGAGGTGAACATTTAGGATTCTGTGTACTAGACCTTGTTTGTTTAACCTGCATTTGTCCAGTTCTGGCGTGAAGATCAGGAAAGCTAAATCCCGATTAGGATTTTACCAGTTAGCATCTTGCCAGGTCAGCTGTGGTTGCAAAATGTAAGTCCTAGATTTTGGAGACTGGAAAGTATGTATTATCTTTGTGTGAAATCTACCTTCTTTGCTCCTACTCCGTGGTGTAAAGAATGAGGAACCACTCAAAGGGTCTGCTTTAAAAATCCCTGTCGTCTTCCCCCCCATTCTAAATTATACACTGGCACACAGTTCATTAACAGACATTAGCCCAGTGCTGATGCAAAGACGGGGACCCTGTCGATTTCTTAGTAGCAGGGTCTTAGCTATGATCCCAGGGTCCCCTGCGTGGTAGTAACAGCCTGGTAAGATGGGGTCACCATCTGCAGGAGGCTGTTTTCCATCTCCCAGCATCTGGGGAGACGAGTCAAGAGGAGTGGGTCGCTGTCACGAGAAGGTATGTATCCCGAGCCTCGCACGGCTGCTGGTTTCAGCCATGCTCCTGCTTTCTAAAGAGTCCAATTTAAGAACTGCCAGATCAAAACGGGATTGCTCCGAGCAGCACATGTTGATCAGGAAACAGCATCCTGCCGAAATGACAGTTTCGCTTGGTTCCGCAGCCTGTTGAGGATGACACTTATCCAGGGAAACAAAAGACCGCAAGGGGAAGGGAAACGCGCCTTGTCTGATCTCACGTTTTATGTTTATTTTGAGAAGACAGGGAATTAGTGTTCCCCGAACATCATTACATGTGGTGTCTCTTCTTTCTGCTATTGTTCTGGTGGTAGTTTTCATCAACCCCTGGAAATCCAGAGCCTGCTTGGAGCCTGGCTTTGTTGTGTGTTCTGGCCGGGGGTTTGAGGCCGTTCCGAGCGCGGGCAGCAGGGGTCGCTGTGAACCTTCTCTGGGAGACGAGCTGCGCCAGGAAAGCACACAGACCCAGTTTCAGACAAAGCCACTGGCCAGCAAAGGTCAGAGCCAGGGGAAGATGTCAGGGTTTAGGGGAACCAGTCCGGTCCATTTTGCCAGGCAGTTTTCATGGAGTTATCCTGCCAGGCATAATCAAAATCACCAGCTCACTGTGTGTTGTGCTCTGCTACATGCCTTCCTACGCTTTATCTTTTATTAAGCAGCAGAGCAGCACTGCATAGGAGGGATGCTGTAATCCCTTAGTGGAACCACCATCCCGCATGTGTGTCATTTGTACCAGGCACTGTGCTAGGCGCCCGGCACGTAGCCATTTCAGGAGAGACAGGCTCCTCTCTCAAGGAATTCACTGTTTGTGAAGGACCAGGAAGGAAAGCGGCAGTGACAGTCGCACAGTGACACACCCGGGGTGTGAGGGCATGAGTGCAGCGCCGTGGGAGGGCATGGTCTGGTTCTTGAGACAGCCCGCTGGGGGACAGCAGCTCACCCGCCCTCCCCAGCCGCTGGGGGCCCTGCCCGTGCACTGGGGGCAGCGGTTTCTCAGCCGAGGCAGTGTTTGCCTGGGCCTTTCCTGGGGGCCACCAGCCTTCCACCCGGGCCTCACTGCACCACACCCCAACCCCTTAAACCCAGCCCGATGGGTGCCAAGAGGCCCTGCAGATCCATGCCTCTGCGGGATCGTCCTCTGGGACAATTCGAGGCTTGCCCTTTAGAAGAGTCAGAGAGTAGACACAGCAGTGAATTAGGAGACAGCAGTTCTCTCTCTGCTGCCCCCTTTCTGGGCCTCAGTTTCCCCTGGCATAAAATAGTAGTCATAATACTGGTGATGACACGTGCTACGAATTTCCATAATGAGGCTAGTGCTCGTCGTTATCATGAAGTCGATTTTTTGAGCGCGACCTCTGTGCCAGGCACTGTGGGCTGAAGCGCTTTGCCTGATTACAGCCCCACGGAGCGGTTGTCATCGGCTCCATTGCCCAGTGAAGAAACCAGCTCCAGAGCCCAAATTCCTACCCACTGGGTTGTCAGATGGCTCGGGCTGGCACCCAGCTCCCTCACCATGTGGCTGCCTCAAGGGCTGTTAAAAGGATTAAGTGAGATTATGCATGTAGGGCACTTAATACAGCACCTGGTATGGAGTGGGTAGTTACCTAGCATTAGCTGTGGTTATTAAACAGCACAAAGCCAGTGGCTCCAGGCTTTGAACCCAGGGCAGGTCTGACTCTAGACAGAGCCCATGTCGCAGTAGTGCTGACTCCTTGGAAGTTCTCTGCAGCATATCCTTTTTTTTTCCTCTTTTCCCTAATTATCTCCCTCCCTCCCAGCTCCCCGCGCCCTCCACTGTAGTGCTGTCCCCCTGCAGCTAGGTTCTGGGGCAGAGAGGATCAGTAAGGAATGTGAGACCCAGGGCGAGGCCGAACTGCTCCTCCTCAAGCCCTGAAAGGACATGTGGAGGACAAACCGGGGTTCCCCAAGACTGCGCAGGGCACACACGGATGCAGGGAGCCAACTCCTCAACCCACAACCAGAGCAAGGATGGGATGGTCCTCGGCTCACCCAGCAGGTGCCCACAGCCTTAAGTCAGTGTCGATTCCAGAATAAGATGTAAAGTGGGCATCCCCCTGCTCTCTGGGTTGACTGTGGGTTAGGTGTGCATATGTGCATGCCTGTGCTAAGTTGTTTTGCTCAGTTGTTTTTTGTTTCACATCTTTTCTTTTTTTTTTTTTTTTTTTTTTTTGTGGTACATGGGCCTCTCACTGCTGTGGCCTCTCCCATTGCAGAGCACAGGCTCCGGACAAGACCAGGGCACGAACCCGTGTCCCCTACATCGGCAGACGGACTCTCAACCACTGTGCCACCAGGGAAGCCCTATGTTTTACATCTTTATTGGAGTATAATTGCTGTACAATGTTGTGTTAGTTTCTGCTGTATAACAAAGTGAATCAGCTATATGTATACATATATCCCCATATTCCCTCCCTCTTGAGCCTCCCTCCCACCCTCCCTAAGCTGATTTTTTATTCTTTTCCCGCCTCCATCCAAAAGGCTGGGTTTGAAAGACCCCAGGGCAGAAATGCGGTTCAGAGAACACACCCTCGGATGCTTCCATGGAGCCTCAGTCCGTTCGCTCAGTGGAAGCCTCTACATTCAGGGCCTCCCGTCCTGACGCACAAGCACGTGTGTGCAGAGCCAAAGCATTTGATGGAAGGGTCTCATTCCCACCCACATTTCAATTGATGGCCCTGAAATAGCAAAGACCCCTTGGGAACCAGGTGACTAGTGCCCGTGAGCACTTAGGAGGCCTTGGACACTGAGCTGGCCACATCCTGGGCACTCATGGTATCAGTGTATCTTCAGAACAGCCCAGCCTGGTGGAACTATTGTTGTGTCCATTTTCTAGATGAGGAAACTGAGGCACAGAGAGGTCAAGGGGCTATTGCTAGAAGGACCCTCAGCTTACCCATTTCTTTTGTACTCCAGGGGCAGCCTTGATTTGAGGCACCTGATTTCTGGAAGGCAGTGATCTTCCAAGAAAGAGGTTCTCCAGGCAGGGCCAGCCTCGTGAACATCTGACCTGCGTAGTCCCTCAAGGCCTCACACTTGGTTTTATGCTCTCCTGTCGCCATCTTGAAATTCTTAATTTTCCAACAAGGGGTCCTCAATTCTCATTTTACACTGGGCCCAGCAAACTATGTAGCCAATCCTGCCCGCAAACCAATGGAAAGATCAGATTCGGAGCCAGAGTGTAATTTGGCAGTCAGCCAGCCTCAGTTTCCTCATCTGCAGGAGGGGATTGACAGTCACGCCCACTTATCCTCCCTCCCCAGGCAATGAAAGGCTCACCTGAGAAGCAGGTGCTGCCGTTGATTCAGTGCCTCTCTCCTCACTGCCTCTCTCCTTATA